CGCGTTGGAAGAGAAAGTGTATCGCGGGCAAAAAATCCGGTGTGTCGATGAACTGAAGGAACGAATCTTGGTAGCATGGGAAGAACTTTCACATGGCTCTATTGCCACTGCCATCCTCAAGTGGAAAGGGAGGTTGAAGGCAGTTATTCGGTAGAAAGGTGGCCATATTGAGCCATACGTCAAACGATGAGCTTGTGCTAAACTTGCGTTGGTTTTGTATTTCTTGTGTTTGAACGTGAAAAGGCTCTGTGCTTGGTAAAAAAGCGTGATTTTCAACTTTTTTCAGCGGAAAGTTTTTTCTCAAATCAATTTATCTCCCTTGTTTTTCGGCGGAACTCAATTGCAACTGATATCATTGGAAAGCGAATTAAATGAACTTTCATTTTTGTTAAATTCTTCTAGCTCAATTTGGGACCGAGATATAAGGTTTCAAAGTAGAGGACCGTTTTTTTTTTACCCACCCTGTATATACCAGGGATCATTCCAATCCTTTTACACTGTATGACAATGAGGAATTTTCACAGTGGTTTTGCTTGTCCAAGCAAATAGTGCTGCATTTGCTACAGCATCTGCAACTCCAGGATCACAAGAAGCATTGATGGACTGCCTGATTGCTGATGGATGAATGACTCCACCAACATGAGAAGCTGCTGTTTATGATTCAGTCAAAACATCTGCAAACTTCATACAGCAGGACAAAGTTGGATGGGCTAGCAACACCCATTACTAACACCTATCAAAATTCAATAACACAAAAGCATCTGATCCAAGTGAACTGCCACCACTGGGAGACCTAACAAGACAGATGTGCAAAACTGGAAAGCACATGTGCAGCAGGACAATGAGTAAGAATCCCTGGAGAACAGGGTTATGAGATTGCTGGGGAGAAGTGGGAAGGTGGGGTATGGTAACTCTGACATAATCCTTGGTTCATCTACTAACATGTGAAGATCAGTTTTGCCCAGGGCTATTAAACCCCACAGCGAAGTTAACCCAGGGCTAACTTGGTCCTCAGTTTATCAACCAACCCTGTTGGCATACAGAGGGGATGGTTTTACCTAGAGGGTGTTGTTTGTGATGTTGCATGGTATCTCAATTTTCTTGTGAAGAGCTCCTCCTTCATTCATGCAGAGATTTACCAGACAGAGTTTGGCCAGACATCAGAAATAAAATGTTTGGTGGCATACATCCAGTTTCAGCTGAATAGTTATGCATACATACCGTCTCACTGGCCTTGTTCTTGAAGATTTTACTTTCCATCCATAGAGGATGAAGCAGGCTTCATGGGAAGAAGCATAGTTACCTCTCCTGTTATGGAAGAGAGCTACATTGCTTGGCACTCAATCTATATTTACAATCCTTTCTCCTTATTCAGCCCAAATCCAGCCCAACTATGGTCAAGTACCAAATAGCAATAGAATATGGTTAGATGCTGGATAGAAATAGGATAACTAGTAACATCATCACAATCTAACTCTTGATACATTCACACTTGACTTCAATTCAAGAGGCTTCAATGAAACCTCCTCAAGTGTTAAAATGGTTGAATTCCTAATAAATTGTGAGTATCTGTATATACAAATAATACATTTCACCGAGTCTGCTTCCGAAAAAATCAGGCAACCAGTTCACAAAGATTACATATTGAGATTTTCATTACTTATACATACATAATTGTAGGCCTAATTGAGAAGTGACACTTTTGACTAAAGATGAGAATTCACTGCAAGTTCACCCCTTACCATCTCCAGAGCTCCCCTTTGTGTGCATCATTTCCACTCTCCATACAGCATTGGTATCACTCTTGGAAAGGAAGTGAGCAATGAATCTCCCCCTCACACTCAACTCGTTCTTTTCGGCATTCATGATGCTACACCTTCAGAAACCACACCACAAAGCATATCCATTTACTCAAGGCTCACCAGATGCATACCTGTACACTATTAAGTTCACTACAACTTGCATAAAACTGTTGCAATCAGTGCAAGCAATAAAGATTCTGGGTTCCTTAGTCTAAATTTAGTGGAGTTGACCAATAGAAACAGATTTCTCAATATTCAGCTTCTCTAAAGGATTATGGTAATTGAATCCAACTCACTTGATGGCTTGCATTGGAAGAGAAGTATGCTTAGGATCCAGCACACCAAGGTCAGCCATACGTGGGTTGACAATATCCCCTGTATCGATGCAAAAGACCTGAGGCAAACGCCCTTCTGCCTGCACTATGCCTCGCTTCCATGATGTGGTATTAGGCTGTCTCACAACGCATGTCTGGCCAACATTCAGACTGAGAACACATGGAGAAATGATGTTCATGATTACATAAGCAAGACTAATGAAATTTTAGAGGTACTTCTAGTATGAATACTCCCAGATAAGCGAGGAGAACCATTTACAGTATTATTTCATGACTAGAAGAATGCAGTCAGAAAGCATGCTGATTCTACAGTATCCTGGTTCTGGGCAGAAATGGACTTAATTGCATTAGTTACTGATGGATCTGCTCAAAAGCAGGTTAAAAACATGCACAAACATGCTCAAATTACCTATGCCTCAACATGTTCCAAAATAGCTATTGATGAGGTCTGGGTCTATAATACTTTTAAAATTTTGGGATGTTAATATCAAGTTTTTTTAAAATCTCTTTCTGATCTAGGAACAGCCTGCTCACTTCCTTTTAAATAAAACCAAATGCACCAGTACCTCCATGCACTGATTGGAATCCAGGTTAATTTCATGCTGACCCAACCAGATAATGCCATGAAGTACTGACAAGCACAGAGTGCTACTTATATTAAAATTAGATACTGAAGCTAAAGATTGTTTCAATGCCTTTTATGATCATAAAATGTTCCTTGGAGGCTGTTGCATTTCTTGGATAAGAATCAAGGGTGATTAAGAGAAGAGAGATCAACCAAGGAGTACCCCTTATGAACTGGAGGAGGATCTGAAGCCTTGATCTCTGCTTCCATGGCTTCCAACAGGGATATATTCTCAACCAGATTCACAGTGAATTCAGACCCAGAGCAGGATACAATCTCCACTTCACGATATGCACCAGGCTTGATGTCTAGTGCCTGTATAATGGATTCACCATCATTGGTGTCTCTCTGTCTCGAACTGTCCATCACAGGGGCTTTGCCAAATCCTTGAGATGTTCTTGACTTGACATAAAATTAAGAGAAAAAAAGAATTTAAAAACTTTTTTTTTTTCCTTCCAGGAAGCAGCAATCTTTTCAAAAGAACTTGAAGCTAATGGAAAGCAGAATAGACTCTTACTGCAAACGATGGGGAAGATTGGGGAAATGCAGCAGGGCTTTCCCATTCAGATATATCAGAAGTTCCATCCCATCCAGATGTAGGGTTGAGCTTGTACTTTTCTGCAGTGGCAGAAGTGCTACCCCAATTGGAGTCATTGGCAGCCTTGCCCCAGTCATCTATAATCAAAGAGGACATTAATGGGTTACAAAAGAGAGATTGACTTGGTTGAAATATGCCAACTACCTGCAGCTAGAATTTACAAGTACATACCAAAGCAATTCCAAGTGCTTTGAGAAGAGCTCAGTGAGATCTATTGGGATGGGATAGAAAAGATATGAGACCTTGTTGGGAAATAATTCCATGGTTACTAAAAATGTAGGGCCTTTACTTATTTTGACATACCTGGCATGGCTTCAAGCACAAACAGAGGAAATAATACTTGATGGAAATGTTAATTGTTAATAACTCCATGTGCCATTCTCACTCAGAAAGCAAATATTGATGAATGCTAATGACATAAAATTTTGGATCCTTGACATTCTAATTTTTTTTGTGAACAATATGCTCTGAAATTTTGATCCTTCAGTCTATTTGAAGTAGAAGTAAACTTGCCAAGAGGATAAACAAAACTATCAGGCTGTCAGAAGAAAGCTCACCTGATCCACAAGAGTTCTGCCAATTTTTGTTCGCCAGTCTGAAAAGGAAGACATACCAGCAAACAATCATCACAAGGGTCACCAATGAAGCAAGAGACTTGTTACAACTCATAAATCATAGAGTGAATCACTGGATTAAGGGAGGAGGGGGGGGGGGGGGGAAGAGGAGCAGAATTGCTTGGTTTGTCTAAAACTTTATAAGTGCATACTTTATAGAGTCTCATTATAAGTACATCTTTTGCTCAGCAGGCACTACCATCTCACCAGAGGCCTTGAGATACTTCACATGAAAGGATACTAGGGCAAGTACACAGTATTAAAAAAAATAGCCTTAATGGCGTCAGAGGAGAGAAAACATTTGAGCAGGGCTGAGACGGCAAAGCATCTCATGCATGGAAAAAGTTACAATTCATGATTGGACTTAATTGAGTGGAGCCCTATTCCTACATATGACTATTTGTGGGCTGGCCCACACACCAACTGAGTCATATTACCTTTCACCTGCTGGAGTTGAAAAGAACAAGAAAGAAGCCCACAAGCTGGAAATAACATTAATGGAAAAACTAAATCCCCTTACATGAATGAATGCCTTTGAATAAAGCATATTGCTTTATTCAAAGGCACATAGATCATCTTGTAGCTATTCATAACTTTGTAATGTAGGTAGAGCTGCACTATTATTCATCTATTCCATTTTTTTTTAAACTTAAAAATGTCAATCTCTTAATTCAATCTAAGTCAATTAAACTTTTCATTACTTTGATGAGAAACAGAGAAGGCATTGGAGATTTTTACACAGTTTCAATTTATGATAAAGAATTACTTCTACTTACAATGTCTTTCTTAGCCAATAGCACAAAATAAAGTTCCCAAGCACATCATTAAGAATTGAATTTTTTCACAACTTGAAATATTTGCTTAATTTGTTCATTGAATTTTCAGGTTCTCAAAAACAGAAAATCTGGGAAAAACATTGGACTTGGGGAAACAGTGTAAGCCTAGTTTAACCCCTTCAGTCCAGGCAGGACTCAAGAGTCCCGTATTTACTTCTTATATGTTATAGGGTTACACAGTAATGCATGACTTTGAGGCAATGGCAGGATTCTGAGTCCCATTTTATAGCAGTTCACCTCATGTTGCCAAGTTGATAGCAGTCCACAGTAATATGAAGCAGCTGTATTTCCTCTAGCACTTCAAAAATGGTGTCATCTTTTGCATTTATTTCAGCTAATACATTTCTTTCCCAGCCAATTTTTTTCTTTATTTGCAAGCTAGATAATGGAAAGTAGTACAGGAATGCTAGGAAACAAATGACTTAAAATAGGGATATGAGTATTAGCTGAACTAATTAAACATCATAATTTAATTAGTTAATTATTTAAAAATCATTAAACAAATATTTGTTAGTTAAGAAAACCATTTTAAAAGCACTTTTATTTTATGCGAGCCTTGTTGAAGCCAAAAAAGTATATGATACATTTGTTCAATGCCTTGAACATAATTCAGGACAGAAAGGGTTAAGGTGTTGGTTTTTTTCATTAATGAATTAAGTACCTCTGGTCTAACAAAGTACTTGCTGTTGATGCACTCAAGGTCATGTCATGTGCTACTTTTGTCTTGCTTTCTACTACATACAGGGTAATTATAAAGAAAGGATCTCATTTCAGAACACACTAGTGCCATTATAAGGTATAGGATAGTGGCATCACATATATGTGACAAGTGTCACATGAGGAATCAATCCCAGCACTTTGTGAATGGGTATGCCACTGAAGCATAATTTGCATTGAAGGCAGGGAAATATGTATTCCTGTACAGGAAAGCATCAGCATTTGCTCACTCTGCACTCTTGTCACCATCATGATGTATAACAGTATCAGTAGTATCAACAGTATCTGTATAACAGTATCAGCAGCATATTGAAATGAACTTTCCAATGGGATTTCTAGTCAAAATGCAAATTATGCCATGGTGATGTCCCTGTGGCAAGATTTGGTGAGTGGTGTAACTGATTCCCAAAGTACCACTTGTCATGCATCTGTGATAGCACTGTTATACACCTTACAGTTAGCACAATAGTTTCTAAAGTAGGATACTTTACAATCACCCTTTAACACCCTGTATTTCACAATGGAATCTGGCATGCTTGGATATCAAAGCATAGCCCCAGAAGAACCTCCCAGAGGCAAGTACTAACAGGTTATTATGCTTCCTCTTTCATACCCAAGTTCATCCTTTCCAAGCTGTGGGGTCCTAGGCTTCCTGCTACGACTGGAGCCCCTCCCAACAGATGTCTCAACTCCATCTGAATCCACTCCATCTGTAAGATAGATATAATTTCCAACCTCCAAGAGAAAGTGAAAAAGATATTTAATAAACAACTCCCACTGGAATGAGCAGCTAGACTATTTTGAAAAATGAGGGAGACTGATTTTTGAAAGACAAGAGACAGTGAATAAGCCCTCAAAGGCAGAGAGAACTCCAGGCTCCACATCTAGGGCATGGTCCTTCTCATAACCTCAGTCTAGTCAGGTATTTATTGGAATCTCCCTTTTCAGCACTGGAATAATTTACAAGAGATGGTGCACTGGTAGACTGGAGACTGTGATCAAGACTGTGATTAAGCTCATCTCACAGCAATTGCAAATGCACACACCAGTGAGTGTTTTGTTTTACATATTGAAGTTATTCTTTGAATTTCATGGGATTAGGATGAATAATAGTGAGCAACATTCAAAACAGATCAGTTATAAAAGTAAGTCCCAACAATTTTGTAAACTAGAAGATTCCAAATAAAGATAAATATAGGTAAGGAGGCCTCATTGGCAAACAAGTCATAGAGATGTCTCATCATGGTTACTTCTACCTGCAATCTGTATTGTAGCATGTACCCTTTCCAACTTCACACCAAGGATGCTCATTATTGAAGAGGATACCTGCCAAAGCAGTAGCAGGTAGAAGTTTCCACAGCTCAAAACCCTTATGCAACCACCTTCAGGGCACAATCCATTTAGATGGACAAGATGATGCCCAGGAAACCTCTACTATCCATCCAGTCAATCAGAGGGAGTTAGTCCCTGGTGTGAAGAATCATACTCAAAGGGCCATGTTACCGACTGTCATAGGCTAATGGCAGAGAGATCAGTTAACTCAATAGGATTAAGCACTAGACAGTAATATTTGTGCTACAATCAGGGTCTGTGCAAAGAAGAGGAAAAACTAACTCTGACCTGAATGAAAATACTGTTTTCTGTGGAGCTATTAACATCTTAGAAGCAAGATAAAGAAAGAGAAATGCAGCATAAAAATTTGTAAACAATTTTGGGAGGCAAGGTTTCATTCCAAGAACAAAGAAAATATATAACCTCCCTTCCATCTCCCTGCATCTGTTTTCATATCATGTGTAGTTTGAAAGGAGGGACTAATGCACAAGAGCAGTATGACTTAGCCCTTTGCATTCCACTGTTGCACCCCATGTGATAAACAATGCAATGATGGTGCATGGGGTGCAATAGTGGAGTGCAAAAGGTTAAAGTGAAGTCATTAGTCATTATGGTGAGTTGAGTGATCCACTCCATTCCCAAACAGAGAGCCAGCATTCAACAGGCTTGGAATGAGATCATCAAGGAGGAGATCTGCAATTCTACTGCTTAAACTGAGATTATGTACCATATGCAATGCCCAGGACCCATTGTGCATCTTTTTGGATAAGGTGAGAAGTGATATGTAAAATTTCAAGGTGCTTTAGTCAAACAGCCACTGTAAGTAAACTCTGGTAACTAGAAATTCAAGGTTCGCATGAAGCTATAGAGGAAAGATATATACTTGGTAGGGATTTGTAGGCCTCCACCTCATCTGGAAGCTGAGAAATAAACAAATCTTTTTCATGTGCTACCACATGGTATTTTCTTCATTCTTGGAAATAAACCATACATTTTTTCCAACAACATCATCTGGTGATATCTTTTCTTTCTCTTCTTGCTTCTAAGATGTTTCCAGGTCTTTTTCAACATATGACAGTATTTTCTTCCAGATCAGTCAGTTCTGACTGATATACACACAGACTAGAATTGCAGGGAAAATATTACTGTCTAGTGCTTCATCCCATACATACCTTTACTGATCTCTCTGCCATTTGTCTACGGCACTGCCACTGCCCTTTGGCCATGATTCTCCGTGCTTGACAATGGATGGATAGTAGAGATTTCCTGGGCCACCACCATCATGTCCACTTCCACAGAATACCATACACTGGAGATGGTTGCATGAAGGATTTCAGCTGTGGAAACTTCTACACACTACTGCTTAGGCAAGTATCTTCTTTGATAATGAACAATCTTGGTCAGAAACTGAAAAGGGTACATCCTACAGTATAGGTGTGGGTAGGATCATGTCCCTGATTTGACTCCTACATGACAATCTGGCCAATAGGGCTTCCCTATCTATCTTTCATCATAGCAATTACCTGTTCATTTGCCAAAATGTTGGCTTAACCAAGAACATAGGAGGGATTCAATACCAGCCACATATCCACCACCCAGATGAACACTCGTGCAAATTTACAGCACTCTATCATGAACATATTGTGAGCATGTCCTAGGCACATACTGAAGATTTGCACAAACCTAAAGTGGTAACAAAATTGTGGTGCAAAATTATCATGCAGATAGGTCTAGTGCACTGCCAATACCTAGGCACAACATTAGGGGCAAGTGGAGTAGGTAGAGGAGAAACATGTCCCAGTAGTTCAGTTGAATGAACATCAAAAAGAAAATCTACACAGCAAGGCTATATTTCCACCAAAACTTTCCAGATCATTTTGGGATTCCCTCCATGCCATAAAGCCTGACTGCACTAGTCCAGCACCTATCAGGTACCTATACAACTTACCAACTTTAGCATCCATGGAAGATTGTGAGTGCAACTTCTTCATTGCATTCCAAATTGTTGTATTGACAGGGGATAGAAGAGAAATTGGCAAGGAGACTTGATAGTACCCAGGTGCAATTCTCTCATGAATTTCAACCTGAAATATAAAAGGTGCAGCTCATGTGCTGAAACAACAAAAATAAGTTCCACTCATTGAAATAATGACAGGCATGCAGTGGCACAACCAGCACTAAAGTTCATTGGGGGATTTGAAGTTCATATGACCTGTCTTTCAATTGTCTCCAAATGCAAGAAGGTGTTATCAAATCATCAGGAGAGATATACTCAACAAAAGCATGAAATGGCACAAACAAAAGAACAAAGAAAATGAAACGAAGAAAAATGTTATGAAATGGTGGAAATGGAATTTGAACACTAAATGATGAAAGTACATTCAATATCTGAAAAAGCTTAAAATTAACTAAATTAATTTTGGGATTCAGCCCAAATATCACTGCACAGATGTGCAACTGGAAATTCATTAACCTGTATGATTCATGCCTTTTATTTGGATTGCTGTCCTTCCATTTTCATTTTAAAAAATTCAGTAGCATCATATGTGCAGGACGTTTCCTTGACAGTCTCACTTAAAGGGAGTTGCTACATGTGACCGGCATGACCTTCACCTTTCACTTCCTATCTTTGTGCCTTTCCAGCCTTGTTTCCAGGTCATTTGGTCATGATATCTTTCTGCTTCCCCCACCCTCAGGGGAGAGGGGGATGGAGAAGTAGAGGGATACCATTATGAGCAGGGGTTTGGGGGGGTTCAGACTCCCTGATCCCCCCCCTTTGGTTGCACCGCTGACATATAGGCTTAAAAATGTCTCACACTGAATCTAAAATGATACTGCATGCCAGGTACCCTACTAGAAAATAAGCATTACTGATTGTATCAGTCATGGAAACAAGTAGTATGACTGACAGACAGCAGAACCAATAGAGTTATGAAGACATCAAGTGCTGTTGAGAATACAAAGATGTATCATGGTGACTAATTCTGAAGTAGAGTTCCATTCTGAAAGCAAAGATTGGCAAGAAAAACAATGCATAGGCTTCATTTTCACTAGAGAGTGTTGGGGGAAGCCATTTGCAGTGAAATGTGCAAGGCATTATTAGTAACATCAATAGAATACTCAATCCAAGTACCAGTGTGGAGTATGAGATGCTGGCCATGCATATGTAGCCATTTTCCAATGCACCTTAATGTTTCACATACCATAATGGAGTCTCAGTCTTCATAAAATGCACAGGACAGGGATGGCAAACCTTTTTGAATTTGTGCAGTAGCTACTATTCATTTGCCAAAATGTTGCATTATTTTATTTTCTCAATATCTCATAGCTAGTCAGGGGAACTTGTGCTGCACACTGGTTCTGGCATACATGCCAGAGGTTCACCATCATTGGCATAGTATATCAGTTTCATCATATTTAGAAAATTCAATCCCTTGGGGCATCTATTGTGTTATCTTGAATGAGGCCATTACATTATCAACTAGAGTATCAGCCCAGGTACAGATGTGCCATTCCACTGGCTCCTATACCACTGGAATTATCTACTTTGCCATATCCTGACATCTAACTTGGAAATAGATAATAGCTGTCATTGGTACATCGTAGGCCCATATAAAAAAGTCAAGGACAATTAGACAAGAATGTTCTTGATGGTTTGGGAAGAGAGTATGAAGTGTAGGATGCCAGATGTGGCATTTCACACATATGACTGGCAACTAGAGATCGACTGATATAAATAGTTGCTGATATAAATAGGCCGATATGGGCATATCAGCAAGTAAGCACATTGGCTCTTCCAAACCTTCTGATTTTTGCTTATTGATATCAGAAGTTGAGTTCTGGTTGATCTTTACAGAAAAATAAAATATAACTAGGACTATCTTTCCTGCACCCATATGGAAACCCTGAGTTATAGCCAATATGGCATCACTTGAGAGATGAAAAATCACAGGTCTTTTGCTCTGCTTATGTTCCTGGTCTGGCACATAGAGGCAGACTTTCACTCTAAAGCTTAGGTTTGGCCTTTGCTTTGCAGTCTAACTTTGTTTCGAGTTCATCAAGAAGAAATTGCAATAAAATCAAGTTGTCCTGTTGAATCATCAACATGGTTTTGTTTATGCAAGAACATTGGTTAATATTGTGTTGGCTATTGGCTTCATATATTGGCCAATATCGGAATCAGTAAAATCCAATATTGGTCTATCTCTATTGGCAACCTTCTCTACAAGGCCACAAGCAGACTCTCTCTCCTATTATCTACTATGGATTTGTCATCCACAAGGGCTGGAAGCAAAGTGGAGGTTTTAGTTGTAGACTGGCAACTCAACCCTGATGGAAAGCTGCACATGCACAGAGTCCAGTTGTATGGTCACTATGGATACTGCAGACAGATGGAATGGAGAAAAAAAAAGTGACAGACTGATCACAATATCTGTTATTTTCCCTTATACTGATGCCACCCCATAGATGCTGTGTTGAACAAGCCATAAGATAACCCAGCGATTCCACCTCTTATCAGTATAAATGTCTCACATGATTGAGGGAGAGATGGATACACGAAATGGGCCTCATTCGCACGACAGGCGGGTGGCCTCATTTTTCAACATCCAGGAGAGGGAACCTCATCTTTGTTTCAGTATCCCTCTCCTGGATATTGGAAAGAACTTGCCCGCCTACCAATCAGTGTGTAAGTGAGGCCCATTTCGGTTATCTGACTCTCCCCCCTCACGTAACCAATACATAGTATCTATGGGAATGGCAGATAATAACATGTATCATGACTTACTTTAACCACTCAGGATTGGGACTTCTGCATAAGGCCAAAACCCTTTCATCTCAACTGCAATTGTTCATGATTAGTAGGGATAAGTAAGACGAAGGATGTGATTTTTGAGCAAAGGTGAATGGCTCTCACATTGCAAGACTTGGATTTGAAAGAAACCAAGCCAGGTGTTCATATCATAGTGTAAGCTCTAGTATCTGAATGCAGTAAAGGATCTAGAGCTTATATACTAGGCATTTCATAAGTCACTATCAATGTTCAGATGACCACACCATGCATACCAAAGCCCACAGTGCTGTAAAAATTGGCATGCAGACCAGTTTGACCATGGGGAAGGCAAAGTACCTTATAGTGACACCTCAAGGTTATGCGATAATGGGTGTTGCACATAGATAGCCCCCCTTCCACAGCCTAAACAATAGGAGCTAGAAAAAATTGTTGAAATATATTTGGGATTCTTGTTCAATTTCATTGTAATCAATCACATTTTTTCTGATCTCATGATGGTGAAGAACTTAAATTCATGGATAGCATCTGTGCTATTACATTTTGAGAAGCTCATGATGCCAGATTTGAATTCATTACCCATTCATGGGTCTTGAAATAGATGAAACATTCAGCTTCTGTCTGATAAAGCCCTATTTTTCAAAGCTTTGACCACACAGCAAATGCTTAACCCTTAATTACTCGCGCTGGTGTATTTCGTACACCATTCGCAATTATTTTCGTCCCCTATCTGTTTACGTGATCGTACAGGCAGCATCCGCCTTTGACTTTGTCTGCAAAGAACATTCAAAAACTGATGTGAAATGTGATACATGTGCACATCCTACAACGGAC